ACACTTCTGTTTGCAATGGGGTGTTTTTGTCATATCCTAAGCAAAAATGCCCTTCGAAAAATTATATGTACTATAGGATCACAGCCATGTAAAGAAAAAAGTTTGGAAAATGTCAAAATTTTAATAGTTGTTTCTCTGGATGTTGAGAATATGGTGATTATTTTTCCTTTTGCCTTGGTGTACTTTCCAAATATTCTAAAATGAGGATGTATTCATTAACATTTATTGAATGCCCACATTATACTAGCCATTGTCCTGGGCTCTGAACACACAAAGCTCATGAAGCACAGTCCTAGTCCCAAGTTGCTTGTAATCTAGTGTCTTATTTTTATATTGTATCTTCAAAAATTATAGACCAATAAAGCTGTTATTGATTTAACTAGAGTAAATGAGAAGTAGCATCCTATCTATTTCTCATTTGATCTTTTTTTGCCTCACACCGCCTTTCCAAGCCAACAGAAATCCTAGCTGCATAATATTCAAAAATATATCCAAAACCCTTTGCAAGGTAAATGAATAAAGCATTCAGAAAGAAAGAAATAAGAAAATATCTTTAAGACCTTGGAGTAGACTAAATGTTCTTAAACAGCATAGTGTGCTAACTATAAATGAATAAAAAGATAAATTGTACTAAACTAAATTAAAATTCTGTTCATCAAACCATGTGTTTAAGAGAGTGAAAAGGCAGGCCACTAAGGTGAAGAAAGTTTACTACACATATGTGACTCATATCCAGAATTTCTAAAAAAATCCTAAATAGCAATAAGAAAAAGGCAGACAATCCAAAAGAAAAATGAGCAAAGATTTGAACAGGCAATCACAAAAAGATATGCAAATAAACATTGAAAGAGGTTTCCAAATGTTAGTCACCATGGAATGCAAATTAAAACCACAGTGTGATATCACTATATCCCAAACTAAAAGGCAGACAGTAGTGAATGTGGACAAAGATATGGAGCAACTGAACTTTTATACACCCCAAGTGAAAGTTCAAATTAGTACAATCACTTTAGAAAACCAGAGGACAGTATCAACTAAAGCTGAATATAAGGGAACCCCATAATCCAGAAATTTCAGTACCGGGTATATATACCCAAGAAGAACACATACAAATGCTCTTCACATTACATTGGTAATCGCTGAAAACTATAAACAATCCAAATGTCCATCAAGTGTAGAATGGATAAATATAGAGTGGTATATACATATAAGCAACACTTTCCCACATTAACTACATCTACATGTAACAACATTTATAAGTATCACAGTCATTAATATTAAGTAAAAGAAGCCAGACACAAAGTGTACATACTGCATCCTTCTGTTTATGTGTCATTCAAAAATAGCTAAACTAATCTATAGTGTTAGAATTCAGGATTACTGAATGATCTATTGTTTAATATACCTAGTGGTTATACTGGTATGTTCGCTTTATGAAAATTTATCAAGGCATACTTTTGTGTATGTATGTTAAACTTCCAAAGTTATATTAGATATAGTTATATATATATATATATGTGTGTGTGTGACACATCTATACCCACATAATACACACATATGTAAAATATAATGCGAATGTGTTTTGTTTATATACACATATACATACATTCCATCTAAAATGTAACAACTCCTGGCCTCCTTTCCCATTCTCTCCAGTCCAGGACCACTGCAAAGCTCTTTGCCCTGACTCCCCTGTTGCATCCGTGCAGTCTTCCCTGTAGCCAGAATTTTTAAAACAGAAGCTGGGTCATATCTGTTTTTGGTTCATAGCTGGTAGTAATTTCACATGTCAATCAGAATAAAACCTTGAGAGGCAATGTATACCCCTGACAGCTTATCTAAAATAGTTTCACTACCCATACTTGTCACTTATCCCTTTACCTTGTTTTATTTCCCTTATAGTTCTTATCACCAACAGACCCATCATTTAGTGGGTCATTTATTTGTCATTGATCTTTCTACCACTAATGTATAAGCTACATGAGAGTAGGGACCTTATCTTCCTGCTTTATATCCCTAACATCTAGAACAGTGCCCAGCATCAAGTGGAGAACGAATGAATGAATGAATGATTGAATGAATATCATCACCAAAAAACATAGGAAATAGGCAGAATGTGTATGTTTAGCCTCTAAACTAAAGAATGAAATTACATTAGGAAACAAAAAATGAAATTACTTGATGTCTTCAGGAGTCCAGCCTGGGTCTTCTTTTACCCTCTGCCCCTCCACCACTTCCTGTTTCTCTCTCTCTCCTTCACCTCCCCCATAACCCACCCTTGCACACGACATACACACACAGGCACAGTTACTAGGAGAATGGAATAAGGACAGTTCTTCTAATGGATGAAAGTAGGAACGTAAACTAACCTGTTCAATGCAATTTATACCCACTGGACTCACATGATAGTCAAAAAGTTTATTCAGTGCTATAAGTAGATGCATGTATAGTTAGAGACTATATAATCCTAGTGTTTCAGAATTAAATTAGGATAACATCCAGCTAAAGATTCATTACATTGAATTGGGCATTTTTATATGAGAATTGTTTTTAGGATAATGATACATGATAGTGCATATACATGGTAGTAAAGAACATACCATTTTTCTGGCTAAAAATATATATATATTTGGGACCTAGGGATGCCACCTTTGGTATTTGCATAAGAAACACTTTCAAACAAACAAACAAACAAACAAACAAACCTTTCAAACAAAATCAGGACATTTTGTTGGGCCTGCAACAATCAAAAACTTTTAAGGTCCTGAAGATGAATTTTTTTGTAAGTGAATATGTCTAGAAATTGACATTGTTTCCGTCAGAAGTCTCACCTCCCTGTTCTCAGAATGAATTGTAGAGCCCCCAGAGCATACAAGGGTGTTTAAGGTTAATTTCTGTTTCTATATAGATATCAATTACCTTTTCAAAGGGCTACCCTGTGGGATTTGCCACTCGGCAGCTTGTCTAAAAACTAGCTAAACGTGCAAATGTGCGTGTGGGGAGAGGGGAAGTTCCCATTTGATTGTCAACCTAGTTGACCCTTCACTTTCTGTTAAAAATTTTTTAAAAAGGAGAGTTTTAGGCCCTTTCAGTTACTAAATAGCTGACTCCACAGTTCTGTTGGTTTGTTTTTTTATTGAAAAACTGGGAAGCAGTGATAAGACCCCAATATGTACTCAACTGCTAATATGAGTACATACTTCTCCCCCTCTTCTCCCCCTCAGAAAGCAGTTAAGCATAACATTGTCGTAACTTTAAAAGCAGATTAAATATAAAGTGAAGCCCAAGATACATTGAGTGTAACAAGGCCAATGTCAGAAGATCATTTGTTCATTAAGTAGTTAATATCTTTTAGTAAGCAGGAAATAATGGTTAAAGGGAGTGATGGCTTAGACTTCTGTGTGCAAAATAGTCATTAATGTCTGACGAAAAAGCAATGCCAAAGTTCATTTTGATGGTCAGACTTACAAATCTGGAGTGGATAGTATGAAGTAATGAGTACCTGTGCATGACTCCTATGTGGTAACTGTGGCCTCTTCATCTTGGCCCCACAAGTTGGGAGCTGTGTAACATAGAACAAGTTTCTTAACCACCCTGAGTCTCAGCTTCCTAGGGATTTAAAATGAGGATGGTAAAAACACCTACCACACAGGGCTTTTGTGAAGATTAATGATATCTTAGTTCTAAAAATGCTTTGTAGCCAGGAATATGTTATAATAATGTATAGGATTATTGCTGTGTTTAAGTAATTCATTAAATACCCCTCTTGCCTTCTCTTGACCTCCTAAAATCACTTCTCTAAGGTTTAGCTAAAATTAGCTATCATCCTTGAGGTCTGTCTATCTCTACTGTTTGGTTTAGGATATTTTTTACTAGCTTAATGAATTTTTTTCTTAGGTTCCATTTTGAAGTTGGCCTGCCTAAATCTCTAGAACAGAACTATGGCCTTCTTTGAAATGAAAATTATTAATGCTGTGAACAAGCAGCTCCCTGAGACCCTTTAGGATAAGAAGATTAGAGATGGAGATTCAAACATGAAGGAAATTTCCTTTTCTACCCCAGAATGAAACATTGTCCCATTTTCCTAAATAATTTCATCTCTATAATAGAAAAAGCACCTATCTAATGAACACTTATCCTATGCCAAGGATTGGGCTATGAATTATCCCTGTAACTCTCACAGCACACTAACACATCTTGTACTAGTGTTGCCACTTACAGACAAGAGCACTATAATTGAATAATTAAGTAAGAGCAGAATCAGGATTTGAACCCAAACCTACCTAATTTGTTTCCCAGTCTTTTTCCATTTGTTTATTACTTACCTCCTACATTTTAACGGACCTTGCATGCCTGTGTTTGCCTTTCTGTACTTTTATACTTTAATTCTTGGTGTGCCTGTAATGAGTAGAGTAGAAGTCTATAACAAAAATGACTAAGGTGGGGTCCCTATACTTAAGGAACTATTATAATTCACTGGCAGAAAGATGACAAGCCAACAAATTTCTATATGATGTGGAAGAATTTGAGAGGTCCTTGAAAGAGGGAGCATCAGTCTCCCAAGCTGTCACATGGGAATAGTACTCTACCTTATACAGCAGTTGTTAGGATAAAGTCAAATGCTTGTGTCAAGAGTTTGGCAAAGACTCGACTCATAGGAAGTACTCAGTGTATGGAATCTACAATGTTGCTAGAGAGTCCCAAGATAATAACTAGGATGCAAAACTAGAAAAGCAACTTGATGCCAAATTTTCAGAGCCTTGAATGCCAGTCTAAAGAGTTTGGACCTTTGACATGGTAAAAATAATCATGCCAAGGTCAGTAATCATTCTGAAAGCAATGAAAGCTGATGCTATTGCACATTACCTTTCAAAATTCATCATAAGTGAGATGGAATTGGTAGGAACAGTTGGAACTAGTTTAAAGGACTTTTGTATTTGATGTACTAAAAGGAAAGATGATATTTTCAAGTTTGATGCCCTATGCTTTTTCTTCCACAGTAATTAGTGAATGCCAAAGGCAGCAACTGGAATCGGTGAGCTACTCCTCTCGCTATGCTCTGGGCCTCTTTTATGAAGCTGGCACGAAGATTGATGTCCCTTGGGCTGGGCAGTACATCTCCAGTAATCCCTGCATACGCTTCATCTCCATTGATAATAAGAAACGCAATATAGGTCAGTACCCTCATTATTTCCCTTAAATACAGTTACAATGTTGGGTGTAGATCATGAAAAATGCTGTTTAATTGAGTGTTGCCATTCTGCAAAGAGCAAGCGTTTAACTACAAGCCACAGGGGATAAAATTTAATGTCACATTTGGCCAATAATAAAATACACAGTGAAACCAGCAAAGTTTTTCACAAACATCATTCACAGCATGGTTTGTATTACTGAGTTCACAAAAATAGTGTCAGAAGGTTTAAGATTTCAAAATGGATCAAGATCCATGGCTTTAATATGGATTCATCTACATGCAAATGCATTTCTCATCATCTGTTTCTTGGCTAACTTTATGTTTTATTTGTTTAGCTTTGTTTTTAAAATTTGGTAAGTGTTGCTCTTGTTTCTACTTCCCAAGGTAGGAAAAAAAATAAAGGTAAATTTTACAATGTTATGAAAATCCTTCACTTTAATATAATTTTACTTATTTTCTTCTGGGAGACTACATAAAATTACTTTGTATACAATGTAACTTAATGATAGGCAAAATGTTTCCTAAGAGCTTTACCAGAAAGGGATAAAATCTTCACCCTTTGCATTGAAGATAGTTATTGAAATTATACTTGAATTGCAAGAATAAACAAAAGGCATTCATTTCAGGCAAAATGGTGAAAGTGTATTCTTATTTGTAGTATTGTGGTGATCACTGAGATACTGCTTTTCATGGAATAAATTGTAATAATCTAAAACTATGGAATTCTTGAAAGGGATCGTCATTTCAGTCTGTTACAGTGTTTTATGATGCAGTGATGGTTTCGTTGAGTCATTAGAAGTCTTGCTTGATAAAGTCACCAACTCTTGTCTTGTGGCGTGCCAGAAGTTTATAATGATAGAGCTGGGCTGGAGTTTGGTTTTATATCAGAGCACATGATCTTAGAAAAATGCTTCTTTTATAACTTAAAACTCCCTCAGGGCTGGACTGTTTATGTTAACATGATACCACGTATATGTACAATCAGCAGTTCATGAAAAGCCTTGTAATGGCAATGAACTAACCATTTTTTAAAATTTAATTTAATTTAATTTTTTAATTATATTTTATTGATGATGGTACTGCTATTGTCCCAATTTCCCCTCCTTTGTCCCACTCCACCCAGCACCCCGCGCCACACTCCCTCAGGCAATCCTCACACCATTGTTCATGACCATGGGTCACGCATATAAGTTCTTTGGCTACTCTGTTTCCTGTACTGCACTTTACATCCCCATGGCTATTCTGTGACTACCTATTTGTACTTCTTAATCCCCTCACCTCTTCACCCATTCCTCCATATCCCCCTCCTATCAGGCAACCATCAAAATGCTCTCCATATCCACAATTCTGTCCCTGTTCTTATTTGCTTAGTTTGTTTTTTAGAGTCAATTGTTGATATGTATTTTTTGCAATGTTATTGCTCATAGTTTTGATCTTCTTTTTTCTTAAATAAGTCCCTTTAACATTTCCTATAATAATGGTTTGGTGATGGTGAATTCCTTTAGTTTTTTTTCCTGTCTGGGAAGCTATCTGCCCTTCAATTCTAAATGATTATCTTTGCTGGATAGAGCAATCTAGGCTGTGGGTCCCTGCTTTTCATGACTTTGAATATTACTTTCCAATCCCTTCTAGTCTGCAAAGTTTGTTTTGAGAAATCAGCTGACTGTCTTATGGGAACTCGCCCATAGGTAACTAACTGCTTTTCTCTTTATGCTTTTAAGATTCCCTCTTTATCTTTAATTTTGGCATCTTGGCCTCTTTGCCTCCATCCTGTTTAGGACACTCTGTGCTTCCTGGACTTGCATGTCTATTTCCTTCACCAAATTAGGGAAATTTTCTTTCATTATTTTTTCAAAGAGGTTTCCAATTTCTTGCTCTTTCTCTTCTGCTGGCACCCCTGTGATGCAAATGTTGGTACTCTTGAAGTTGTCCCAGAGGCTCCTTACACTATCTTCATTTTTTTTGGATTCTTTTTATTTCTTGTCGTTCCAATTTTTTCTCTGCTTCCTTATGTTCCAAATCATTCATGTGACTCTCAGCTTCATCTCCTGTACTGTTGTTTCCCTGCAACTTGTTTGTTTATTTCAATTAGTGTATCCTTCATTTCTGACTATATCTTTTTTATGCAGTTGATGCCCCCACTAAGTTCCTCGATATCCTTATCGCAAGTGTTATGAACTCTGCATCTCATAGATTATCTCCATCTTGTTTAGTTCTTTTTCTGGAATTTTGATTTGTTCTTTTATTTGGGCCATGTTTATTTGTCTCCTTATTTTGGCAGCCTCCCTGTGTTTGTTTCTATGTATTAGATAGAGCTTCTATGACTCTGTGTCTTGGTAGTGTGACCTAATGTAGTCGGTGTCCTGTAGGGTCCACTGGCACAGCCTCCTGTATCACCCAAGCTGGGTACTTGAGACGTGCCCTTTGTGTGGGCTGAGTATGCCCTCCTCTTGTAATTGAGCCTTGGTTGCTGTTGGCAGATCAATGAAAGGAATTTACCAGGCTGGTCAGCTGCAAGGATTGGCTGTGACCACTGACCACCAACCTCCACCCTCCATGGAGGATCAACTGTGCAGGGGTAGAGTGGTGGTGCTCCAACATGGCCTGTAGCTGTTTACAAGTTGCACGGGCTCTATGGTTTCCCAGGTGGTGCAGGCCACGGTCAGCCCCAACCTGTGTTCTGTCCAGGGCCACCCTGCATGAGCTATAAAGCAATCTGAGATGGCTGCTACTTGTGCTGGACTTGGAGATGCCCAGGTGAAGCCATGCTGTGAATCTGGGCTGGCTGCTGCTAGTGCTAGGACTGGGGCCACTTAGCTACTGCTTATTGATAGGACTGATAGGATGTGAAGCATGAGCCAAGACCAGCCATTCATATGGAAAAGTCATGGTTAACAGCGTGGGTGGGCCTGTAAGTTAGTGTGGAACAAAGTCTCAAGAGACCTCCAGGGCAGGGCAAACAATGTGAGCCAGGTTGATGGAGTCTCAGATAATGCCCCCACCTGCCAGTTCTGTGGCTCTGTCAGGGAGGGTACAGAAAAGGGACAATGGCCTCTATCTGCCGTTCTGCCTGGGAAAAAGCTATCCACAGCTCCCACCTTGATGTCTGACACTTTAGTTCCTCCTTGTATGCCACTGGTACCTTTCAAGCTGCTACTCCAGTGTTGGAACTCTAAGGGAGTAAGTCTAAGTCCTTGCGTGGGTTCTTTAAGAGTAACTGCTTGGGGCTCTAGAAGTTTCTTCCACTGACTTGACCCCCCGCTGGTTTCTGCAGCCAGAAGTTATGGGACTTATTTTCGTGGGACTGGATCCTTGGGCTAAGGGGACTGGTGTGGAGCTGGGACTCCTCACTGCTGAGATATCCCTCCTGAATTGTTATTCACCACACAGGGACGTGGGACCAGCCCAGTCCACATCTCTGCCCCTCCTACCAGTCTGAATGAATGTGATTTCTTTGATTTCATAATTGTCAGGCTTCCATTTAACTAAATTTCTAACAGTTCTGAATGTGGTTGTTCTATATTTTAGTTGTAATTTTGATATGGTTGTATGAAGAGGCTAACTGTCTTTACCTGTGCTGCCACCTTGACCAGAAGTAGACTAACCATTTTTAACTCCACAACTGCTTTGTTCTAGAAAAGGAAAATAGCCCTTGATCCTCTTATGTTATATGTCATGAATTAGACACTCTCCTTTGTGTATTGCTTCATAAGACCTGATATCTGTAAGGATGTATTCAGTAATATATAATAGAAAAAGAAACAAACTTGCTTAAATAACATATGGACATTTGCTGTATTATCTGGTATAGACTAAACTGTTTCCTCCTAAAATTCATATGTTGAAGTTTTATCTCCCAAAGTGATTATATGTAGAGATAGGACTTTTAGGAAGTAATTAAGGGTAACTGAGGTCATAAGGGGGATCTCAGTCCAATAGGATTGGCAGCCATTAAACCGAGGAAGAGAGAGAGGCTTCTCTCCACCCTGATGCATACACTGAGGAAAAGCCAAGTGAGGATAGTTGCAAGGTGAGAAGGTGAGCTCTCTACAAGCCAGGAAGAGAGTCTGTACCAGGAACCAAATCAGTCGCTACCCTGATCTCAGACTTCCCAACTTCTAGAAATGAGAGAAATAAATTTCTGGTGTTTAAACCAGCCAGTCCATGGTATTTTGTTATGATAGCCCAAGCTTACTGATACATTACCTAAGAGAAAGAAGTTGAAGAAACTTCAGGATTGGTTGATTCAAGAACTGAGCAATATCTTCAAGGACCTAGGATTTATCCTCCTGTGCTCTGTCTCCCACTTTTGATGTTGACATTCTCAGAGGACTTGGTAGAAAGATGGCAGTAACTGTTGGAGTCACATCCAGACCCAAAAACATGCTTAGGAAGAAGAGAAACTATTGCTGTCTCTGTCTCTGTCTAAGAATCAAGGGAATATTTCCAGAAACTCCTCAGTTGATGTCATCTTGTAACTCATAGGTTGGAATTGGGTTACTTGACCAGTCTGAAACAAACCACTGGTTGTGGGGGATGGGGGTAGGTTCACTCTCATGATGAGCCTAGAAAAATTAAGATTTGTTCCTAAATATGGTATTAGGATAATTTTCTCTTTAATCATATGAGGAATAGATACCTGAACAAAATAGGGTTTTCTTGGGAAGAAAGAACATAGTAGTGAATGCTGGGTTGGCAACAAATAATGCCTATTATCTTCAAGTACAGTCACATCTTATGTGGGAGGTAAAGTTCTAAATTTGGTACATAAAGAGAAGAACCGTGTATATTCAAAATTACCTTTGAAAATCCCTTAAAACTACATGACATTTTGGAAAGTGATGTAACTTGCAGTAAATTCAGTATTTTTCCAGCATTCAATAGATTTTAGTTTCTTTGGGTGAGGCCAGATGAAATACTTGGTTTGCTTTTATAGGGCAGAGTGATATTTTCTACTATGTACGGCACACAGGAAAGAAA